CAGAATAATATGTTGAATTATTTTCATAATAATATAGCAAGGTGAATGTTTGAGGAATATATAGAGTATCACTTATGCACCATATAATAAATGAACATTCAGAAACAGATTCAACACTGAAACATTAAAGCAAATTTCAGGGGATAGTTGCGCATATTACATATACAAGGAAGCACTGGTCAGGTTTATTTTAAGTAGTTATAATAAATAATTCCAAACATTTATTAAAATGTGTCAATTCAATAGAAAATCTGGAACTGTGATAAAGTYCCCAATTCATTTTTATTGTCCTGGATAGCATGTCCTCCTCCTCTCCAAGAGAAAGRCAAAATAATAAAGTTGAAAAAAGATTTAGACTGATAAGGTAGCCATAATTAATTTKTTCTCTCAAATAGGATTTTCAGGGCTATCTTATTTTACATGAGACAATGCTAGGGTAGGAAAAAAACCTCGTATGCCTATATTAACTATTTTCACTTTATCCAAACAAATTACCATTTTGTTTTGGACATCATTTATATTTGTTTTTTCAGACAGGGACTGAAAAATTGTCCAGGTTGGCCCCAAACTCCTGAGCTCAAAAGATCCTCTAGCGGAGCCAGGGAAGAGTCCCTGGGTTATTAACGTTGGAACTTAGTGCCTGCCAGTTTGAGTGGGTGTGTGTGGGAGGGCATGCCTGYGTGGGTGTGCACAGGTGCTAAGCAGCTGTAGCTGCCCCATATTCKGACTTAAAAAAGCAGTTTGACTTTGTAGACTTACTTATGTCATTGTAATGATTTCACTCTTAACTGTGACATTTTTATCAAATGTGTGAATAAATACATAAAGACTGGTATAAGGACTGGGGATGTGGCTCAAGCAGTAACGCAATCGCCTGGCATACATAAAGATTGAAAAATACATATTAAAAAAATTCTCTCTCTCTTCTCTCTCTCTTCAAAAAAAAAAAAAAAGATCCTCTAGCCTCCTGAGTAGCTGGGACAACAAAGGTAGCAACGGTGCCTGGCTTGGGCTTCCTTTTTTAGCATTCTAAACAATTCACCAGTGTATCCCTTCTCTTTTCAGACAGGACTTGCTGAAAAATGGAGTTTGGCACATATCCAACTTTAGTAACCATATTTTACATATGTACACTCATCCCGCATATATTCCATAATTATTTCATAGTCTTCCAGTTATTTGAATAATAAATCCTGATAACTAAGTTCATTTGTAATCAACTCTCAGTTAATCTTAGAAAATTCTACCTCCACAACTTCTTTTTTTTTCTTTTTTTGTTGGTGTTGGGGATTGAACCCATGGCTTTGTGCATACGAGGCAAGCACTCTACCAACTGAGCTATATCCCCAGCCCCTCCACAACTTCTTAATTGTATTAAATTTTATAAGCATGTTCTTTTATTTGGAAATAACTATAGAATTCTACTTTAAGAATTACACATTTAAGTTGTTTAAATAAATACCCACATAAATTCTCATTTATACCAAGAAATAGTTTATATATCGTAAGAGGGGGAAAATCATTTCATTTAGAGATTCATAGAAAAATAAAGACCAACCAGTGAAGAAGTGTAAAAAAATGTGGACTCTTAAAGTTTCAGCTATTTTCCCTGAAATTCTATACCCTTCCCATGAATGATAAACCAAACCAAGTTCATATAATAGAAAATTTTGAACCAGTGTTAAATTCTAAAATAAAGCTTGATTCAGTTCAGATCTTTCTCTTGAGAAGTAATTTTCCTGACTTCTCTTTCCCTCACACCTAAGCAATTTTAGGCAAATTTAAAACTGTAAGGTTTTACCCAGGTTACTTGTCTCTAGGGAACTAGGTTTCTGCCTATTCTATATCTCCTATGGAAATACTTATCCTCAGGCTAGGCCACATGTCCCATGACTAAAAGTAYACAGATTAAAATCTGGTGTTTAGTTACCAATTGCRTACAATATTTGGGTATAACTGGCATTTAAAAAAAATTTTCAGTAATGCCCATTAYAAATAATTTATMTAGATAGACTCAAAAATTAACTGGTTAACTTTAAAACAACCACCTGTTTAATAACATAAATATCTCAATAAGAATGAACCAATGTGACCAGGGAGAATACAGAAATTCTTGGGTTAATTATAATAACATGGTGATAGGTTTCTCAAGGTACTTTCTAAACTCAGCAAGCCACTGGGCTCCAACTGCTCCATCCACAACTCGATGATCACAACTGAGTGTAACAGACATCATGCTAGCCACATCAAATCTAGAAAGAGTAAAAATATTATTAGTTACTCTGAAAGCAATAAACAGATTTTAGCCAGCAATCATGCACATGCTGATTCCTACCCTATAATCCAACCCAAGTAATATTATTTTCCACCTACTCTTCATGTCCTGTATATCTTTTTAAATATATATATTTTTAGTTGTTGATAGACCTTTATTTTATTTACTTATATGCGGTTCTGAGAATCAAACCTAGTGCCTCACACGTGCTACTGCTGAACCACAGTCCCAGCCCCTCTATATCTTTTTTTAAAATTTTTTATTCTGATTTTTTATACATGACAGTAGAATGCATTTTGATTCGTAGAACACAAAATGTCATGTTCTCTATATCTTTAGTTCAAATTAAAAGCTTGAAGAAAAAGACCAGACAGACACCTGGGAACATGGGTTGGCAAATTATACCACATGTGCCATTATCCTGTCCTCTGCCTATTTTTATAGATTTTTTTTTAATTTTAATCCTTTCATATATTATTTATGTCTGCTTTCATACTACAATGGTAGGGTTTTGCAATAGAGTCCACATGCTCAGAAATATTTATTATCTGACCTTTGTAAGTGTGCTAAACTCTCACCTAGAATAAATCTCAAATAAGATCCCATCAATAGGATCTCATTTTATTTTTCTTATTTTTTAATTTAATTTCACTTTTTGGGGTACTGGGGATTGAACTCAGGGGCACCTAACCACTGAGCCACATCCCCATCCCTAATTTGTATTTTATTTAGAGACAGGATCTCACTGAGTTGCTTAGCGCCCGGCTTTTGCTGACACTGAATTTGAACTCCTGATCCTCCTGCCTCAGCCTCCTAAACCAAGCCACTGGGATTATAGACATGCACTACTGAGCAGGATCCCATTTTAAATAGGATTACTGCATTTAGTAAAATAGAAGTTTCTGCTATAAGGAATTTCATCCTATATTTGCATCTGACTCTACTAAAGCTCCAGTACACCATGCCATAAGTACCTATAAAACCAAACTCAGAAACAGATGCATAATGTAATGAAAGTCAGCTTATAATTCCTTCTCCAATTTGGCACTTACCCTTTTTCATTGTCTGCTGGAACCAGCTTATCCTCTGAAGCACCAATTGCCAAAATACACGCCTGAGGTGGGTTAATAATAGCAGAGAAATTCTTAATTCCAAACATACCTAAATTGGAGATTGTAAAAGTGCCACCCTAAAGGAAAAAAGATTAAAAACAGATCATATTAATTGCTTGCCAGTGTAAAGTAGAAAAAATTACAAATATTCTGTGAAAGGTCTTACGACAATTTTGTATTGGCTTCTGCACACTAGTTGGAAAATGTCTTATTTTCAGCATTTGACATGTGACTCAATTTTCCTTTATTTTTAGGACCTAGTATCAGTTAAAACTATGTGGCAGAATCAAACAGTGGAAAATAAAATAAGCATTAAAGGTCAGTATGTACTATCTCACCTGGAACTCTTGCGGCTGTAGTTTACCCTCTCTTGCTTTAGCTGCTAAAGAAACAACATCTTTAGCAATGGTTTCCAGTCCTTTTATATGTGCATTAAACACAATTGGTGTGATGAGTCCTGCAGGAGTGCTGACAGCAACAYTGACATCAACAACATGATTTCTGTTTAAAAAGAAAAAAGAAATGAAAAATAATCAATACTGATATTTTTTTAAGAGCCTATGGGGCTGGGGATGTGGCTCAAGCGGTAGCGCGCTCTCCTGGCATGCGTGCGGCCCGGGTTCGATCCTCAGCA